CAGGTGGAGCAGCCATGGGGGGGAGGGCCTGGGACAGCAGTGGAGGGGTTGGGGGGCTCGTGGCAGAGCCCCCCATACAGCGTGGGGCAGTGGGGGGTAGCGGGGATTCCCCGCCCCGCCCGGCAGCACCTGGTGAGTTGGGTCTTTTTTTTTCAAAATGCCAGGAGCTGGGCCGGGTGGGTCAGCTATTGCTGAGGCTGGGAGAGTGGACAGGGGATGGGCCTGGGTGATTCGGAGATTTGGCAGCAGCCAAAGCTCTGAATCAGATTCAGCCGGATCGATTCAGGACATTGATTTGAATCACCGAATTGAATCACTGTCCCCTGAACTGGCCGAATCTGAAGCAGATACTAGTAGTTTTGCACAGGTCTACTAGTAAGAGTCAAACAGATATGCCATAAATCCTAATATTTTTATTCTCTTGAATTTCCAGACTTGTCTGTCTGTACCAGTATCCACTTTAGTGCCAGTTTACTCACTCATTTCTTACACATCTTTAGCCTCTTCCTTATTCTTTATCTTTTCTCATCCTCAGTTTGAGATATTCTCTTTTTCCTAATTATTCTGGAGCTCTTTCTCTTCCTATCTGTAGGTCATTCATCTTAAAACATTCTATCCATATTGGCTCATGATTAGTACGCCTCTCTCTCTCTCTCTCTCTCTCTTTCTCTCTCTCATGATGCATTTTATAACACTGTATACACGGACACTGCTATGATATGAAAGAGCACACTTCATCATACCTTGCATGATCTCCTCCTGGCTATAGGCTCGGTTTTCCATTCCAGAACTCTGCTTTATGTGTTTAGGTTGACAGAAATTATTTTCCAGAGGGTAGTCCTCAGGCCTGCTTGGGCTGGTGAGGAAACAGAGTTCAGGTACTATGTACATGATTAGGAAGACCCAGCCATTGGACACCAGAGCGATGCTGAGGGTGGGGTCATCCCACATGTCTTGCATGGTTAAGACTCCCATGAGCATGGTGATCCATACCACCCAGATGGCTATGGAGAACAGGGCAGTGAAAAAGATGTGTGCTCCAGACCTCTTCCAGCCTTTGTGAGGACCACAGAAGGTGAACATTGAGAACAGGAAGGTGAGAGCCAGCAAGAAGAGGACATAGATCAGAAGCATGACAAAGTCACTATTGTGTTGGTCCCGAGACATCTGAGTAAAGTTTAAATGGTTCGTCTTAATGACTATATATTCTATAGCTATGATAACCTGAACCAGAGTGAAGCCAGTGGCAAGAATCAGCAGCACCCAACATGAAATGGGAGTCTTCCCCCTCACCAGCTTGATGAGATTTGAGGAATGAGTCAGGAGACAGGAGAAGCAGAGGGCAAAGAGAACCCCAAAGAGGAAAAAGCGTGTTGGGCCAGTCCTCTCATTGAAATTAATGATGAAGGCAAAGGTAAGGCCAAAGATACCTAAGGTACCTAAGAGGAAAAGGAAATAGACAGGAATCATGTTTCGCTTGCTGTTGTCTTGGACTTTGCAGATGAGGAAAAGGAGTGAGAACATGAGTATGACTGTGGTAACAACACCAGCAGCAGCCAGTGACTCCAGGACGATGCCCCAGGCTCGGTTAGTGTCACAGAGGAGATAATTATCAGAGCCAATGTTGCCACAGCCTGGAGGAGGTGTTGTGCCAGCCATATTGACTGATGGAACAGGCCAAAGCAGAAGTGTCTTCTTCGAAATATCTGTAAAAGAAAGTAAGACACATGATTAACAGCCATCTTGGAAGGTGTTGTAGGCAGAATGGTTCACTGTACCTCTTCTTCTTATAATGAGGCTTTCTCTAAGAACACAGGATCTACTGACCAATCTCAATCTCATTTCCTTCTATGACCAGGTGGCGTATCACCTGGACAAGGGGGAAGAGATTGATGTCATATATCTGGACTTTAAAAAAGCCTTTGATCTGGTGTCCCATGATTGCCTCATGGAAAAGTTGGCCAACTGCAGCCTCAGCTACATCATAGTCCAATGGCTGAGGAATTGGCTCTGAGATTGGACCCAGAGAATGGTATTTGACGGAAGTGAATCATCATGGCGCTCTGTGACCAGTGGTGTCCCCCAAGCCCTGTACTCTTGAACCTGTACTCTTGAACGTCTTTATTAACGATGTGGACACTGGTGTCAGAAGTGCACTGGCCAATGACACCAAACTTTGGGGTAGAGCATCCACACCCAAGGATAGGCTGGTGATCCAGGCTGACCTTGATAGGCTTAGAAAGTGGGCAGATAAGAACCTGATGACATTCAATACAGAAAAATGCAGGTACTCCACCTCAGGGAAATAAGTCTGCGTCACACTTATAGGCTTGGCAGTGCTACACTCACTAGCACCATGACCAAAAGGGACTTGGGGGTCACGATTGACCACAAGATGAACATGAGCCACCAATGCGATGTTGCAGCTGGTAAAGTGAACAAAACTCTGGCTTGCATCCATAGGTGCTTCTCAAGCAAATCTCAGGATGTCATCCTTGCACTGTACTAGGCCTTGGTGAAGCCATAGCTGGAGTACTGCATCCAATTCTGGGCTCCACAATTCAAGAAGGATGTGAAGAAGCTTGAGAGAATCCAGAGGAGAGCCATGTGCATGATCAGAGGGCAAGAGAACAGGACTTATGAAGATAGGCTGAGAGTCATGGGACTCTTCAGCCTGGAAAAGTGCAGGCCCAGGGGTGACCTGGTGGTTACCTATAAGTACATAAGGGGTGTGCATCAGGATCTGGGGGAATGTCTGTTCACCAGAGCACCCCAAGGGATGACAAGGTCCAACGGTTACAAAGTCCTCTGAGACTGTTTTAGGCTGGACATAAGGAACAACTTCTTTACTGTCCAAGCCACCAAGGCCTGGAATAGATTCCCTCCAGAAGTGGTGCAAGCACCTACTCTGGACTCTTTTATAACGTTTGGAAGCTTATCTTGCTGGGATCCTTTGACCCTAGCTGACTTCCTGCCCCTGGGGCAGGGGGCTGGATTCGATGATCTTCCGAGGTCCCTTTCATCTCTAATGTCTATGAAATCTAATGTAGCAAAATAGACCAGTGGCCCATCTAGAACAGCTCTACATCTCAGGCAGTGAGAAATGCCAAACACCACAGAGGAAGGTAAATTACCCTCATATTGTCCCTAATTGTGCAATACTGGGCATGTCTACATGTGTGCCTCACTACGTAGCTGGTATTATGGAGTCGCGGTGGTGCACAGGTCACCAAAGTGACAAGCTACAGTGATGTAGCTCATCGCTACAACAACGTAGAATCAGCGGGCACTAACCATGATGCCACTGCCGTAGCAACAAGTTATTGCATAGTAGCAATGAGCGTGTCAAGAAGTATTATGCACAAGGATGTGCTTAATCTAAGATTCAATGACCCCATGTTTAGATTTTCTAAAACAATTTGGTAAGAACTCAGTCCTGCTCCATTGAATTCAATGGAACTATTCTCAGAACTGGTCCTAACAGGAGCTAGTGGTTCTAAAAAATATTATTTTATAGTATGCTTGTTGCTACTGCACAGTAGCAATGGCATACGGGTTAGTGCACGCCAATTCTATGTTGCTGTAGCTCATCTCTACAGAGACATAGCGTGTCGTGTAGATGCACCCACTGTATCACAGTGCATAGGAAGTTTCCTTCTAAACTCTAGCAGATACCCTGAAACATAGAGATTGATCATCATTGTGATTTTTATTGTAGATGGCATGCCTGCAAGTGGCAAGGATTATTTGGTGAAATATTTTATTGGACTAGCTGTATAATTGGGAAATATGCCTTTCATGCATTTCCTATGATCACAGCTACAACCTCCCACCAAATCTGCAGATGTGCTTAATCCTTTTTTGACATTTACTGGAGGTACAGACACACAATAAGTGCATACAGAGTAAGCGGACTTTGTTCTGCACAATAATACTAAAAAATAATATTTTTTAGAACCACTAGCTCCTGTTGGGACCAGTTCTGAGAACAGCTCCATTGAATTCAGTGGAGCAGGACTGAGTTCTTACCAAATTCTTTTAGAAAATCTAAAGGTGGGGTCACTGAGTCTCAGACTAAGCACATCCTTGTGCATATTTCATCTTGACAAGCTCTGTACATGGAGGTTCTCTAAGACCATAGATGCAACAAAATGTAAATGTAAATACACAGAGAATCTGGAAGGCAACCAGATGCTAGTGGAGAGAACAGAGTGAAGCCATTGGTACCAGGAAGAATAGCACTGTATTGATTTCTCTTCAACCCACATCACTAAAACCATATAGCAGAAATGAATTACCATGGGCATTATAAATTATTTTGATTATAGATTTAGCCCCTTTGGTGGTAAACTTTCCACAAACTAATCCTGATTTCTTTCTAATGTCTTTCATGAATTTGGATAAATAACTTCTGTTCCATACAATGTTTTCCAAAAAAAAGTGTTCCTCTTGGCTATTTACTGTTGTTGTTTCCAGGAATGTAAATCAACATGCATTGTTTCTGTTTCCATCTTAGAGGGTTGAAACATTTTAAAACAGGAAAACAACCACTCACCAAGGAGGGATAAATGCCTCCTGTTGTTTTTTTTTAGATTAATCATCATTCATGAAACTTTGGGAATTTACAGTCATTTGCACAAATACCTGACGGCTGTTAAAATACTATGCGTAATGAATAATGTGACCCTCATGAATCTTAGAGAAGCAAATTCAGCACATTTATTCACAAAAATATTCACAAATCAGATTACTTGACTCTTTGACCAGCTCTAGCAGATGCACAGACAGGTGCACAATGCATAAGCTAACAGGGACCAAGGACAGGAAAAAAACAGTTGCAGAACTCACAGACAGCGAGATATTTTGCCCAGCATGTGCTGGTAGTGAAAGAAAGATTAGAAATCTACCAGCAAGCAACCAGCATTAGCCAAACTTCAGCCAGACAAAATGGAAAAGAGCATGAAAGTCTCAGAAATGCAGGTCTGAAATCATCTGTTAAGTTTCTTCTGACGTACTTTGTATTTATTAATTATTAATTGTGCAATACTGTCGGTACATTCAGCAGTCTACACACTTAATTACCAAAGTCCTGACATGCCTTTAAAAACTGAGAGTTTCCTTTTTCTCAGAGCATACGTGTAACAAAGTCTGCAGGGTCTGCCCCTATCTCGCTGCAACCCCTCCACCATATTTCAGCCTGTAGATTCATGGGCACTTCTGAACGGATGCAGTAAGGAGTGCTCTTCAGAGGCTAAACCTCTGAACACTTGAAAGTACCCAAAGTCTCTGGCAAGCTTATACACCTTGCTCTGGACAGTATGTCTTTGCACTGTTATCCATACCATAGCCAGATTAAAAAGTTACTCAATTTGTCCACCTGAGTTGCAATCATACCTCTGAAGCAGAGACCTAGACCCAGTCTTTTCTTTTAGGAGCTAGATCACACTGTGTTCATCTTAATACTGAAGGGTACAATAGTTGTAAGGAATTTTTGGGGGGGGGGGGGGGGGATCCATAAACTGCAAAACATATGCACAAAGAAAGTTAATGCCAACAATCCCATGTTACGGATCTGAAAGCTCAGCCACAGAGAGGCTAAGGAGCTTATCCAAAGATCAGTGGCACGATCAGGAACAAAAGCAGGTCTCCTGACTTCACATCCAATGCTCTATCCACTCTGCTATACTACTCATATTTCCCATCACTGAGAGAGTCCAATCTCCCTGCACCCCCTTCACTGCAGCTAGAACTGTACTTCCTTAGCTGTAGCCTGGGCTATACAGCTATGAGTTACCTTTTCTGCCTCCTGTATGGAAGCTGAGGTCTCGGTGGTAGCGGCTGGAGGAGAATTCCTAGCGCATTCAGTAACAGAGTAACCTCAGTTCCTGTAATCCTGGGGAAGCAGCAGTTCTGCACTCCCACTCTTACAGGGCAGCTTTAAAAGCAAATGGGATGGAGAGGGTGGGGAACAGACACGCCTATTCCAGTTTCACTGCTCTTGGTGCTGTTATGAAAATAAAATCTTAGTGCCAGGAGATGAAGTAAAAAAATTCTGACGTCAGCAGGGCAGTCACTCCAGAAGCAGGGTGGAGATGGAACCTTTGCCTGTCCCAACCCCAGGACTGAATCAAATACCTGTCATCAAAGCAACTGATAAGCTTCACTTCTTTCTGAGACCTGGCACCAGCAGAGCGAGTGATTGTGGCAGACCTCAAGCAAGAAAAACAGCACATCATCATACCTGGCACATGTGCTTCCCCAAAATATAACTGATCACTGGCATAGCTTTGTGATGAGAATGGCCTTCTAAATAGCTTGTGCTATTTAGAAGGTTCAGGAGGAAGAGGGACTTGGATCATCACTCCAAATTGTGACAATTCCCATATCTTTTCTCCCTGGAAAAGTATGGAAATGTCATTCAACTAGGCCTATTCTTGAGAACTTTTCTCCTTTCCTTATTATACTTTTTTGTCCTGTAGATACCATCTGGGCTTGTGCAGAAATTCATTACCATCTCCTGAAAAAAATCTTTTTCCTGATTATTACCCAGCTCCAATGTTCCAGGGAAAGTAAGCTCTGATGATGTTTCTATGTGCACTGTCAAGCAGCTGAATCACTGTTACAATCATTTCCTGGATATAAAAAAATATTTCATGTGCTGGACTCTGTGACAAATACCTTTTTCTTTCCAGTCTGGTTCTGACCAATCCCACACATCATAATGATGCATGTTTGAAAGTGAACAGGGCTATTTGAATGAGAGAATGATTTCATTAATTTGAAATGTTGCTGAGTGGAATTGCTCTCAGTACCTAAGCAGGATCAGGGCCCATTCATGCTGGACTCTATACACATAAGAGCCAACTCCTTACCCTGAGAATTTGGCATTCTAAATGCATTACACTCATTTCTTCAAAGTTTCAGAGAGTGACAATTGTACACCTGACCTCCAGCTAGCTTTTGAACACCAACAATGATATAGCACAGGAGGAGGTGCCTGACTGGTCAGACATTTACACTGACCACTCATCATGTAATGTCTGTGTACGTTTATGAGGTTCCTTAAGAAGAAAAGGGTTTAAATCTTTAAATCTGTCCTTTCACACCTCTGGTTTTGGAGGTTAGGAAAGAAGCAGGCAGCTGTGAAAATCACAGGAGGGAAAAGGGGCTCTCAAGAGGATTTTGTCACTGAGTCTGCAGATGCAAGATTTGTTTCAAGTAAGTGCTCTCATTTTTGGATCTGTCTGAATCAGGCCTTGGGGCCTCCTGAAGTTCACTTGTCACTATTTTTGCATCTAGGATTATAAGAACAAAGGATTGGAAGGGACATCTCAGGCCACCAAGCCCAGTCCCCTGCATTCACATACAACCATTTGTCTAAAAGGGTCCACAAAATTATACATTGCAGTCTTATTTGCCTACCAGAGCCACAAAACCCCTGATGAAGAAGAACTTACAATAAGTCACAGGAAAAGCAAGCAAGCAAGCAAGGGAATGAACCCAGGAAAAATAAGGGCATCACCAATATGTCTGCCACTACAATGGCTGGGGGTGGGGTTATTAGATGCTCAGATGATCCAAGATAGTGGGTCACAGCCTCTGTCACAGAGGAAAATGAAGCACTCATTGCCAGTCTGACCTGGGGAATTCCTTCCTGCCTTGAATCTTGTGACTGGTTTATCCTTGTGCACATGAACAGAATGTGACAGCCAGGTACTAAGACATATTCAGAGACCAAGTTTCCTATCACAGTCCCAGTGGGATTCCATATACCTGAAGCCACATAGTGAAAACAATGATTACTACGCCAAGACTATCCCTATCCTATCTGACTAAACCTTGCCATCAACAAAGAGATTAATATTGACATTCTTCAGAATGCTGGACAATTATTATGCTTAATGCACAGAACACACTGATCATTGGGCAGACGTGACAACATTTTTTAAAGGCAGGCAAGGTTCTTTGAGTAGATGTGATCTCTTTTATTAGGCCAACTGAGTAGTTGGAAAAAAAGTTCTTGGCAAGCTTTCGGGCACAGCAACCCTTCTTCAGGCATAGAGAATCTCTGCTGTTCTGAGACTCCAAGACTGAGAAGAAGCTTGCCTGCCTATGTCCTTAAACCAACATGGCTACAACCAAAACTCCACCAACATTTTTCAAAAGCACCTACATCCCATCAGCTTGGGGCACATTGGAAAAAAAGTTACCTATGGTCCCTACTCTGAAAGCATTTACATTCTAAAGGCAATCAGTGCTTATGTAGATGTAAAACTGCAGTTTGCAAAAGGGGTTAAACATGTAAAACCTACTCATCCACCACTAGGCATTGGATCTTACTGCCTTACAACTCTGTGGCAAAATTCTCTAAAATGAAGATCAGAAGAGTTGCATATTTTCTCTTTGGCCAGTTGGGGAGAAGCAGTGAAGTCCACAATAAAGTAAATATGTGAATAGGGAGAGATGATACTTAATGCTCTGGAATGCATCTGGATAACATGCTTTTATTTTTGGCCAACAATATTGGCTTGACATCAGATATTTCTGTTTCATTCCTTCTGCTTAGCTGCCTATAAAAGATTCCTCAGTGACATTACAGAAACACCTTTTCCCTTCTTTAAATAAAAAAAAATATTACAGTCCTGCTGGGTTAATTTTACACTTGTGCACTGCCCAAGCCCTTTGACTTGCTTTGTTTTTGAATTAGTTCAGATATAAACTTTATGACCTCAGAGACTGCGGTGGAACAGGGGATTAGCACAGAGATACAGGACGTGGTTGGTGTATGTTGCCAGGTCAAATGCACCCTCTGCTGAGAAACAATCAAAAGCAACAGTTATGGCAGCAATGCACTGGAGGGGTAAGCCAGGAGCCCCCCTGTTAGAGCTCTGTTTATGTGAAAGGCTTATTATCCTGTCTCTGGATATTGCTGAATTCATCCATCTGTACCTGGACCTCATGCAGTGTCTCTTAAGAAGAGATAGCTTGCTTTCTGTAGTGGGCCAGATGGCAAATAAATAGCAGGTGAGTTGTAAAATAAATTTGCAAAAGAAAATAATTCCAGAGTCCCTACAAGGTCTTCACCTCATGCCTCCTTTCTTCAGATTATCCCAACTACACACTGTGCTACCTGCCATTATAGATTTCATGAACAACATAGAAACATCTATAATACGTGACAACCAATGTGTTTATTTGCTAAGTAGTTCTGACTGCTTCCTCAGCTATGAAACTGAGTTCTTGTTTAAATGAATAGATTTTTCCAATCCCTTTCTCTTCCTGTATTCCCAGTACATGGACTTCTGGTACATGGGGTTTATCAGGCTTCAGGTGAAGTTTTAATGTGGGCTGCATGTTAAAATATTCACAGCCAACCCTGTTTAATATTTTGTATGAACACAGAAATCCAAACACTGGAACTATCTTCTGAAATGACACAATGGAAAAATGTGAGAGGCAAGGATTTTTATGGGTAGTCTTTTTTACAGGACTAATTGTATGGTTGGGAGAGACAGAGCCGTTGCAACCGGAGCTGGAGTGGGGGGTTGAATCTGAGTCCCACCCCCACCTCGCAGGCCCCAGGCCGGCACCCCAAAAGACCCACCCCAGCAGGGGCCGTGGTGCGGGGGCTTGGATTCAACCCTCCACCCAGGCTCCCAGCAGCAGACAGTGACTGTTGCTGCTGCACTGAGAGCTAGGGTGTGGGGGAGGAGTTATCT